TTAAAATAAAATTCATACAATATCGACCAGACAAGATGATGCATCCATGCAAATAAAATTAAGCCGATAAGGAGGATGTAAGCTAACAAAGGGGAACACCACAGAGAGATTTCGGTGTTTTCGCACGTCCGCAGCATGAACCATACCAAATGTCAGCTAACCTCCATGATGACCATGGTGGAACTTACCAAAGCTCCTCCTCTATACATACGCTCAGAAGAAAACACTTTTTGCCTGTCACAGGTGTGACATCTATATAATACAGGTGTATAAAAACATGCGCGTATTTGAATGCAACGCGTGTCAAAATTTCAAAGCAATCGCTGAAAAGCTTTAGGAGATTTAAGATCTTAGGCAAACGAATTTACATTTCATTCATATAGATTATTTTATTGAAAAGTGTATTACACAGAGTTATTTGCTGCATATAAGAGAAAAATAAATTGATTTTCAAAGCTTTTCAGATCAAAATCAAATCAATTGTTTTGCCACACTTATTTCCAGCCAATAAATAAACTTTAAAATTTGAGAAAGAAAGAAACGATTCATCGAAAGAAACGAATCATTCGCAATGCATTTTACGCATGCTTTTTGTGAAAATACGGTATGCAAAGATATCGATGCGTATATTTTTACGATCGCTCGATAATAGAACGCTCAAAAATTCAAAAATGACTCCAGTCATGAATAAATGTATTCAGAAAAGTATAGAGAGTTGAAAACGATCAGTGGCCTAGTTTAACGTTAGATTATAGGGAATATTTGAGAGCTTGAGCATGAATCATTTTCAGAAGGTCAATTCACGCTAATTTTTGGCATTTAATGCCTGGTCGACGAAAGGTATGCTGTATTAAATCACTAAGTGGTTCACACAGTCCTGATTAACTTCACCATGTTTGAAATTCCCATACTTTTCTTCGGAAAAAAAATGAAAAGTAAAAATTCCAGAACTTCGGAAAATCCCTAAAATTACGCCCTTTGTTAAAACCATACTTCAAACTAACGAATTCGCATATAAGAGGCAATTATCTAAGCGCTGACTTGGAGCGATGAATTGCTGATGGGAACTTTTTGTAAGTCTGGTTAGATCTGATGGATCGTTTGACAGATTGATGTCTTCTGGTACCTGTTGGAATAAACTGTCGTGGAATAATGTTACTTGGTGGAACCCACGGAACTAAATGTGATCGTCGGGACATTTCATCAAATTTCATGATTCGACCTTGTAACGATTCGTTGAAATGGCGCTCACTTTCCTGGAAAATTACGTTGATCCATTTTCCGTAGCTAAATAACTTTTAATTTAACGTTAAAGTGGCAATTATTTACTACACCCTTTATTTACAGAAAAAAATCGGGAAATTTGAAAAAAAAAACCTTTATTTGAAGCCAAACATCATAAGCTTCTCTCGACAGTGCTTCTTTATACTCCTTTGTATTCCTACTTTGGATTTCCTCCGTCCTCCTGGATTTGAGTAACTTGCGTCGCGCTTCCGCATTTCGGATTTTATTTTTTTCATACCTCAAACTGCTTTCATTTTCCTTATTTTCCCATGCAATAATTGAATTCGTTGAAATAATTGCACAATAAATGCCATAAAAGCAACAAAGAAATATTCAACAAAAAAAAAAAAAGTAATTGGCAAATATGTCGATTCGCCTTTTTCTAAACATTTTGAATGTTGTCCTCATCATCGATCCGTCAGCCCTAATACCATAATATCGAGAGATGATTCCTCACTGAATAACCTATCAGTGGGTGTGAATAGCAAAATACTCCTATGCCACTGTTTCCTTAATGTGAAATAAGCTCACCGAACATTTTCTTATTATATGATGGTCAGCTTTATCAATTATCACTTCTATGCTATCCTCTTATTAGCTGAACATGCGGTTGATTCCTTAAGTAAGAGTAGCACAAAATAAGTATGCCTGGTGTACCTTAGACTGTCAGAAGATCGAAAGCTGGACATAAGGAGCAGGGCAATTCATTTCAGAATTTGTTACTGTTTAGATATATTTTAGCTCATCTTCCGTCAAATCACAGAGACCGAAATAAGAAGGACAAGATAAACATATCTTTAAACTTTTTACCATGTGTTGAATGCCTTCTGAGCCTCATTGTTTCTTATTTCCATTTCGTGTTTCTTTTTCAGTTCATCATTTTCTTTATTTTGTACGCACTGTTTCCGCTCCTTCGCAAACTTTTGCAGTCGATCATTTTTCCATGCTTGAAACATCTGGATTCAAAAAGTAAACTACACCTCTTACTTTTAAGGTTAATCCATTTCCAGTTGCTAATACCATAAAAGGACTTTGTTATTACTAAGCTGACATGCTTAACATTATTTGAGTGCTACCGCCACAAATGTTTGACCGTCTCATGTTTCGCTATATCTCAAAATATTATAATCTTGCGTGTAGCAGTTTTCTCGGACAGAAAAGCTATCGTAATTGCTGAACGCAGATAGATTTTAATGGATTTCATGAGAAGTCCTGAAGATGTGTCGTCCAACCTTCTTTTTAGAAAGGTTTATCTCATGTGATTGAATCCCTTTTTTTTAATGTTCCAGTTTCTCGCCTTTTTCTAACAGTTTCATGCATATTTTCAAGGATGTATTCCTGTGAAGCTTCCCGATCGCTCTCAAGCAATGACATTTTCAAGGAGATGAAGGCTACGGAAGTCAAATTCAAAATTACTCATTTTTCCCGCTTTCCGCATTTCCTTTAACCCACCTGAGTCGCTTCCTCCTTCTTTCTTTTCATTTCCTCCATCTTCTCTTTCGCCAAAGCCTCCGCTTTTTCCTTTTTGGTTCTCCTCCTTTCACGCATCGCTTCATCGCTTTGTTGCTTCCAAATTTCATAATTTCTCTCAGCTTCCTTTCTTCTCTCCTCTCTGGCCTGTAATTTAACCACTCAAAAATTTGAGAAAAAATGCAAAAATCTGGTGAGGCGAAGACCGACTTAATTAGATAATAACGGAAATTTATACATTTATATAATACCTTTCTTTCATCCTCTTCTTTCTCTTTCTGTTTTCGTCGCTTTTCTCTTTCTTGTCTCAGTTTTTCTCGAAACCATTTCTGGAATTCTTCTTTAAATATTACCAATTATTGCAAATCTCTTCCGTTTTTCTTTTCAAATTATCGGAAAATGACTTTTACCTCATATGCTGCTTTCTCAGAAGGACTTTCACTGAGAGCGATAGTTCTCGAATATTTTTCAACTGGTTTCCTCAGTTCGCTGAAGTTTATGTAATATTAGCAAACGTCTTTTCCATTGTATATCTTTTATGGCTTTATTTCAGTTAATGTGAATTTGAAGTTTATTTAGATTTCAGCAGCCTTTACCTATCTGTTTTGTTTCTTGAGATTGTGTATGTCGATCGCATTCGCATTGTATCACGTAAATTTCCCTTAGATACTTGCCTTTCCGTTGCTTTCGTCTTCTTGATAGCCTGAATAAGCCAGAGTTTGTGACCTTCTGGTCATTAAAAACTTGTCCAGTTTAAGATCTTCAGTAGAGATTTTGAAATTTTTCAAATTATTTTAATGATATCCTACCGACGAATTTGATGCTACACCAGAAGATTGGTTTTTCTGTCTTACTGTCGTTATCGATCGATCAGAATCTTGTCCATTTGCAATCGCGATGGTATTATTTTCAGGTTTATCATTATCTGTTTCTAGTTTTTGTCTGAAATTATCGAAGCATTTCAAAAGGAAAGGTCAGTACTGAGTATATGATTGGGTGTATGGAACGATGAAGGCCTTAAATTTGACAGGAAAAGTGATCAACTTGGTCTGTCTATGTTAGCAAATGGTTAACGTCAGCCATATACTTGGTGCTTGTTAAGGCTAAGTAATCATGCAAATTCTTTTTTAGTTCCAAAATTAGGAAGGAAGTAACATTTCCTCCCTGGACTTATTCTCAGTTCTATTTGCATCATTGTTGTCGGAGTTAGACTTTTTCTCCTCCTCTTCTTCCTCCTCTTTCTTCCCATCATCACTTCTTCCTTCTTTCTCCTCTTCCTTCTCATCATCACTTCCTCTTTCCTCTTCACATTGTCGTTGCCAGCGCTTCACAATTACATCACTTTTCTAAACCATTCCTTTTCATTTTTAGGAAAGATTGTCAGTTTTTAAGGCTTGAACGCTGTGATTTCTTCTAGATTCGATAAATTTGAAATATTTATCCTTTAAATGGCTGAAAAAGATGACTGGAGGACGTGTATTCGTAAAGTCAAGTCCGGGAGATAGCAGAAACGAATCGTTTGTTGCACCTGCCGTAACTACCTGTCCATGTCGGCCATGTCTTGTTGTTGGCCTCTCCACCAGTTGCGTTTGTTTTAATCGCTCAGCTGAAATATGCAATCTTAAAGTTGGTAAACTGTGAACCAAGTTGTATGAAATAAAATCTTGACGACAGTCTTGCTTTCGAGTTATTGTAGATAAGTAACACAGGTATGTAACACCCTAAAAATCCACAACGATCACTTTTGATTGGAAAGCATAGCAAGACTGAAAGCAACGACCTTTCTGAATCATATTTCCTTTTTTGAACCGAATTCCCAGCATTTCGTCAAGCGCATCACTATATCTGGTACTATGTTTTCGTGGTATCTCTTCATCCTTCATTCTGTTATCTCTTTAAGTACTGAAACCCGTTACGACAAATTTTACTGATATCTGTGAGAAGCTAACGTAAACATTAACGGGTTTTTGTGATCAGTGTCCAAATCATTGATGGAAAGATGTTATTTTAAGCGAAATAGTTTAAACTACAATCACTATAGAATTTCTTTATATTTGGGTTCAGAGAATGAAACTTATCCGTGACAGCTGAAAATGACCTAAATTTCTCAAAAACATCAAAAAAACAATGAATTCAGGAGGCATCAAAATCACGAATAATTTTTCGAGACAGTAATTAAAATGAGGTTAGCCATTTGCCAAATTTATAATATTCCTATGTGGTACAGAATTTTGAAGTTAGTAGTCCATTTAAAAAATGTATGTAAAACTTAAGAAAATTAGCGGAATCTAGAAGTCGATAGCTCTTGAAACGATTATGAAACAAAAAAAAAGAAAAATTTGAAGAGTAAAAAGATTGAAGACATCGAAATAATAACAAAACGAAGAGCAAATAAGGGAGTTGGTAATATTCTTAGAGGCCTTGTGTTATAACCATAGCAACCAATGGACGCTTCAGGAGTGGAACTTTTGAAATCCTATGGCGAAATTCCATGAATTTGCTCCCTTGAACCATTTTCCAGGTTTCTGCTACTCGCATGGTGTAGCTCGAGGATTAATGGTCCATTTAAGAAATGTAGGATTTAAAAAACGGAAATCCAGATGACGGTTTCTGAAATCAGATTTCTGAAACTGATAGCTGGTTTTTCTGTTTAAACAATCCATCATCATGAACCTACAGAAATTCAATCCAAGCACATTCTAATATTGAAAGTTTTGATGGCACAGGACATTATATGCAAATTTTATTCTCAGACAAACACTTTAAAAGTAATATCTGTGGCAATGGAATTATAACCCCAGATAGTTTCAAATGGTAATTAACACATGCATTGATAAATTAAAAGATGGCGCATCTATGCCAGAATTATCACTTTATTTAACATACAAGCAATATTAGTAAAAGATCCCAAAAATATCATTTGCTCTATATCAGAACAACTTCATAGGGCTGATATGAGGGAGATATCGACGTTCACCCACGTACGTTGGTGGTCCACTGACCTAAAATGACAAATTTATCTAAATTTACAGAAAAGGAGTATTAAATAATAGAAACATTGTTTTTTAGACAATTAATATATTCATAAGATTTGTGTCATTCTTTCCGTTTTAGGACTGTTATTTTTTTTCTAGATCTACTTATAGGTGAATTGTCCTGTGCATCAAAGAATAACCTTTGCTTGTACAGTCTTTAAAATCTCGGAGACTGCCGATTATTTCAAAGCGAATTTTGGGTAGCAATTCATGAAAACAATGAAAGCGCACTCATGCTACAACAATATAAAATCTAAAAACGGCATATTACTTGTGAACCAACAACACTATCTTCTGTAAAACTTCCATTAAATTCATAGCCACGTTCATCGCTTTTGCGATTGTAAATGTAGTAAATGACAAGCATGGCGATTGCTGTGAATAGTATCGCAGAAACGAATATTAACAAAAGTATAATCATCAAATCATAACTTCCGCTCCTGGAATGACTTTTTTTTGACAGCTCATAGTTCAGTTCATCAATAATTTAAAAAGAAAGTTGGCAGAAGCATTTAGAGAAATTCCTGGATTTAGGACTCAATTTTCCAAAACAGAACCTTGCGTATGCCCTAGGACGAATGATAGCACATTAAAATATCACGTGAAATTTGATATTCTAAAATTAATCTATTCATCAAATCGTATTGACACCAATGATAAGAGTTGTTTATAATGATTGCTACGATTCTGGAAAATTCTCTCTGGACATTTCACTTAAATACACTTAACAAACCGTTTAACTTCTTGAAATACACAACAACCGTTTGGGCAGCATCCAATATTACATAAATATGTGATTGGATTGTCGCTGGCCACATTTTTGTAGTAACATAGGTAACCACCATCATCTAAAACAAAACTTTTTCCTACAGTTTCCATTTCTTTTCTAAATTAACAAAAAACCCCCGCATAATTCACTCAATCGAAACCCATTCGTCAATTTAGATTGAACTAGAACTTCATCACATGCATATTTCAACTCCGCCAGAGAAAGCCTTTTGAAGTGTCGAACTAGACTTACTGGTTTTTTCATGATATATTAAACCGCTCAGATTCTTTCTGATTTCACTTGGTGTTGTTGAAATCAATCTGAAACAGAATTTCTGTCACAACTCATTTAAAAAATGCATCTTTTTTCAGCCGAAATAATTTTCTTACATTCATAATCATATTCATCCAAAATAATGTGGATCTGTCCACCCTTACTTAATGAGCTATCATGAAATTTTTAAAGAGGTTTTGAACTAGGCAATAACCAATGTTTCTGTCCTTCAACAAAGAACAGTCTCATCAGTATGATGATTATCATTGAATGGTTATGATTGTCGATGAATATCAGTAGTAATAACTTTACGCTTTGCTAACCTTCACTATATGAAATTTCAGCTTGTTAGCTTGTTAGGCTGACAGAATGGAAGTCAGTTCAGACACACACATTCAGGATAATAGAAACTCAAAAGCTGATGAAGCATTCAATTAATAACTCAGCACACTTCAATTTCAACCAAATAAGGAAAAGACTTGCGCAGTAATTGCATGTGCCATGTGACTTTGTTCTTGTTCACTCGGCAGAAAATTACTCCAGCGAAAAGTCATCTATAACGAATTAATTTCGTTTTGTAAGCATAATAAGACAGCCTAAAATTCATATCAGCGATTAATGATAGTTCCCACACTTGAGTTACGCTCAAAAAAAAGACTAATCAGAAGTTCCGCTTTTGAGCCATGTATTTCAGATAATTATATGCAATTATCTAAGACAATTAACAAAGCACGGCGACCTTATATGATATAAAACTTAAGATTTGAACTCTTATCATCCTTTCTGAATCAAATGGACGAAGATGTTAATTAGAACAACCAGAAAATATCATTAATAAAATTAAAAAGTTTAACACTAAAATTCAAGTTAAATATGAAGATACTTACCTAAGGAGCAAGGCGGAAGTGTCAAATTTTTCGGCCTGAGCAAACGCGAAAGAGTATTACAGAGGAGATGGGAGCTCAGCAAATAAGTAATGTGGAGAAATGATTAAGTACGCGTGGTGTAGTCGGTGTATATGTTTGTTAAACTGTGCAATAATGTGAATTGACCGAGCAGGTGAATTGACCAAGCAGGACAGCTATTAAGTCACCACTTTAAATCTGTTTGCTTACGGGTTTGAATTACTTTTGTAGCAACACTTCACTACCCTGCGTCCATATCGCTCGGCGTTCTTCCGAACGAGCCCTACTACCATCCTGTTTATCTGTTTCCTTGTCACCCTTCATCATTTGACATTCATCCTTGTACGTTCCTTTCCTCATCTAATTTTCAACAAATCTGTGATATCATTTTCATCATTCTCTGTCACTCTCCGAGACACATGTCCTACAATTAATCACTGCTAAATTGGTCACATAACTAAATTCAAACTGACATATTTACCACCGAATATATAGTACAATTCCTGTTTCTCGAAATCCCCAAAACAAACTTTAATTGTTTTTCAGCAAGAAGTTTGCATATTAAACGCGGGAAAGAATAATGGTTGCTGTTGATTCCAACTTTGGAACATGCGAAACTTTGAACTAATAAAATGAGATATCATTGAGTGACCTGATGTAATCATATATTGGTTACTTTGAATGCCCCTAGAAGGAAGAATCATCCATGGTGTAATTAATATCTTTGCAATTTCTATCCACAAACAACTATTTGCCACAGATCTCGCCAGCAAAGATAACCGCATAGAGTCTGTCATTATTGCACACCCTAAGGAAACTATCTGTGACAAAGCACTCCAAAAATGAGCACTTGTGACGTTGATGGACCGAGGAATACACCGGAGAAATCAGTTCTTTACCAGTATTTCTGGAAATATTTCACCGGAACGAATTTCGCTCAATTTCTTCACCGTTCAGAATCTAAATAACCCGGTCTCGACACGAAAACGAGTGATCGATACTGAGTTGAGGAATGTCTACTAGTAATCAGGCACACATGGGAGTTGATTTCCACGGCGTTAACGTAAGATGTAAGAATTGACGGGATGCTTATGCGTAAGATGAGAGGTGTGCGGAATGTTAGCTTACATCAAACCGGCTTGAAGATAAAGAGTTGGAGATAGACGGTTTGAATAACTCTGAACACTACCGGACTTTTTTTCACGTCGAAGGCACTGAAAGATAAGGTTACCAACAGATTTTAGTAGAAAAAAAGGAAGGAATTCGCGAAATAAATGGTAGAGTAATAGAAGTTTACGAAATAACACGATGATGGGGTATTAAAAGAGTTTCTGTTACCAGGGTTAGCTTAAATGTTCGCTTGAATGATAAGAGAAGTGGCAGCATTTTGTTGGGATATTCGGTACGAAACAGGTTCGAGTTTTGGAAATTACGAGTTTCCTGACTTCTAATTTCATGTCGTTTTATTCGTTCTTAACTTGATGCATCTAATCAGTACATCCACTTTTCATTGTTATGGAAAGAACTGAGTCAATGGATTACAAAAAGGGCTCTCGCAGTTCTTGATGATAACGTTATTCTGCTAAGGACTGAAATGCCACTGAATTTATTTGGGATAGGTGCTGGGGGTGTGAAGTCACAACAGCCCGATAACTTTTCCCGAGGTTTGTGCTGTATTTTTTATGTACTTCATGTCATTCTCCTTTTTACATCCTTCGAAATTCAGAAATCGGTTTAAATCCAGGAGGTCAAACGCTTGATCTAAAAACGCTTATGAAGCAGTAATATGCATTATGAAGCAACAGCCAAGTGGAATTCAGCAAGCGTTGTCGAGTTTTCAAATGTTGTGTTTTTCGTTGTAGGAAAAAAATATGAAAGTATTATTATGATTTTACCTTGTGGTAACAGTTCCACTTTTTATTGTTTGTAATACCTTAAACCATCCAGTATTTCATTTATAATATATTAGGTAATCATCTTTTTGACATCGTCTTTTTCTACAGGAAATACTGGCACTTCTGACGGGAAAGATTGGCGTGGATCAGTTGTAAAACTACCTAATCACACTGTAACGTTGGACAAAAGACTTGCTGAAGGTAAAATATAAAATTCTGTTGTGGAATCCTTTACCGGATAATTTCAACATCTACCTTCTTAACAATCAGGTGGATTTGCGATTGTGTATTTGGCAAGCGATAAGCAGGGGCGTCATTATGCGCTTAAAAGGCAGTTTATTAGTGATGATGTTCAACAGTTGGAGGCATGTCGAAGAGAATGTCGCATCGTTGTGAGTTTTTTATGTCATCAGTTGATGAAGTTTCGGCTTTGAGGATATGTATATAACAGCTCATGTTACTCTCAAACGCGACTGAAAGTAGCTTTTTACTGTCATAATTAAGTAGTATTTGTATTGATTTCTATTTATAATCGCTGTGTACTGCGACATTATTAGTAGAAAAACTTTGATTACTCGATCTGAGGTAATCATGAAGTAGTGCTTCCAAATGATTTGTGAATAAAGAATAGTTATTAAAATCAACACATTGATATTTAAAAGTTCCTTTTGCGATGTTTCTTTTGCAGTGTTTTCTTTTGCGATGTTTCTTATATTTCCATAATTACATCTGCTTCTGTTACAGAAATAATGATTAAATTTAGTTTTCATATTTTGTTTGAAATATAATTCTGTATGTATAGTTGAGTGTTTAAAATTTGGAGGTATTTATAAATTTATGATATATACATTTAGAGTTGCTTAGCGGGACACAAAAATATTGTGTCGTATATAGATCATATGATACTGAAGAATAATTGTGGTGTATATGAATGTTCACTTCTTACTACTTATTATAAAAGTTTGTCTACTTTCTTTTAAATTGTTTTCATTTATATTCCGTTATTTAGGCAGTATTTCCCAAAAATTGGTCGTACTGCATAATTTCCTTTTCGTAAAATTGCAAATTTTTAGTTTAGAAATAAACTGTTGCTTTTTTTCAGGTGGTGTATTGCAACTGATGAATGAACGACATTTAGCTGGACGTTGTCTATCGGCAAATGAGATTTTGAAAATTTTTTGCGACGTATGTGAAGCAGTTGCGCGATTGCATCATTCTCAAACTCCAGTGATTCACCGTGATTTAAAGGTTTTTCATTATCGCTGGTTCTTATGCAGAACATATAATAAAAAGTGACAAGTTAAGCTTTTTTTTTTCGTTTTTTCCTTTATACTACGTAATTGAAGGCTGAAAATGTTCTGATCGATGAACAGCGTCCTGGTGCACCAGTGTATGTTCTGTGCGACTTCGGAAGCGCTACGACAAAGGTTATTTTTCGCACTGTTTACTATTTGTTCATCGTTTTCTTGTTTTTCAAATGGCTGAGTCGTTCAGTGTTTTCATTTTTTAGAATAAGTGTTTTCTGTCAAAGAACTTTGTGTATCATTTATATAATAGACATTCTGATTAGATTTTTTGTTATTAATGACAGCCTTTTGCCTTAGCATTTTAAGGATTAAATTTTTATGACGAAATATCAAGCAAAGCTACTCACTTTATTCCTTTCTGAAGGTTTTGTCATCGGACACACAATCACTGCAGTTTATTGAAGAAGAGATTCATCGCTATACGACACTCGCCTATCGAGCTCCTGAAATGATAGATATTTACTCCGGAAAACCCATTGGTTCGTTTTGCCCGATTAAGTTTGACCAACATTAGTTATGTTGAACTGTCTCCAGAAAGATTTTTTGAATTTTAGGCACAAAGATTGATATATGGGCGCTTGGTGTTATGCTCTACAGGCTGTGCTATTTTAGTCTTCCGTTTGGTGAAAGTTCGCTTGCAATTCAAAATTGTTCTTATAATTTCCCAACTGAACCCAATTATCCGGAGGAGTTACGTGCCATCATAAGTAACTTATTTTACTTTTACTGACGAAATTTAAATTTCAGTTAAATTGTGGAATATGCTGTTCCCTCTATAACATCTGAACCCCGAACTGCTGATGTAGGATTTTTTTTTGCTGTCAAAACTCTATTCGATTTACATTGCGTCATTTCATTATTTGAAAGATTCTAGTAATGCGCTCCATTTTTGATATTGGACTAGTGGAAAATTAAGACAATTGATTGTACACATTCCCTTTCGAAATGGGTCAAAAAATTTGAAGATTTAAGGAGATATGGATAATTAATTCATTAACACATACTTGTATTTTTAGAAGTACTTCTTGATCCGGACCTTGTTCGCCGTCCAGATATTTATCAAGTTTCAACTCTTGCTTTTGAGGCTACTGGACAGCGCTGCCCCATTGGTAACTTAAATGTATGTGTTAATTTAATATAACGGCTATTTACTATGAATTTATTATCAGTGGAAATATTCTTGTTTTAATTATATGAAAAATTCGTGCTCTCCTTTAAGACATCCAAATGAACTAACTGGTATAACAGGTAGACAGAATCGCTAATCCAGAAAGTAATAATAATAATGACAATGGTTAAGAGTAGATATTGTTTGCATGTTGCGAAAAGATGCTGGGAATATTAAGTTTGTGCAGAGTCATTTATTAGCACTAATTTTCTTTATATTGGTAATCATCTTTCAGAAAGTCCCAGCATTGCGTCTAATTGATGCTTTGCAAAATTTGCGCCAGCAGGAAGTCAGTACAACAGCACTTTCGAGTACGTCAGCACGCATATCGACGTTTGCTAATTTTGATAACCGTGTTGCACCGAAGGAAACAGCCACTTCTATCAATCCGAGATTGAGACCAAAACCATATAGCAATACAGTTCGCTTGAATTTGGCCGATTCCAGTTCACGTTTGCTAGATGTAAACAGAGTTCACTTCCTATTTAATTTTTATAATCCCGTTACATCAATTAGTGTTTTAATTCATTTCATACATACTTACCACATTACTGATATCTTTTTTCTGCAGGTACCAATCAGTAAACAACAAAACAGTTCATCTTATCCAGAAATCGGTGTTGCACATGCAGGTATTCGAATTTTATTAGTTTTTCTGATTACATAGTCAATTTAGACCCCGGAATAATTTGTTAGACTAATGCTCGCATGTTTCCACCTCCGTTATGGTTGGTTTGACTTATTCTTCAATTTCCTGATTTCGTAACCCCTCAGTTCATTTTTATGGTACAAAAGAGACTCGTGTGTAAAAAGCAGTATGTGAAATATGCAATAATTTATGAATTTAAATGAACCCAACTGCTATTTGAAGACTGTTTGCTTATTAAGGATGTTCGCAGAAATCATCTTGTGGTATTGCAGGAGAATATGGCATTGAAACTCTGAAATCAAGTGCATTCAGGTTATTTCCATGTTTGTATTTGCAGTGGTTTTAGTCTAAGCGTTTTGTTTTTTTTCTGGCAGCTGCTTTTCTGTCTTCATATAATTGCTTGTTACATGTCCACATTGTATGTATATATAAGGCAGTGTACACCATCCTTCTAGCACCATCGTTCGATACAAAGTTCTCAGGTAGTCAAAAAGTCAGTACTCAATACTAACTAGCGGAAATTAGGCTTTCTGAACTACTGGAAGAAAAAAGAAGCTAGGAAATGATGTGATGCACTGTTTGACCAATTATTTCCCCATACCATAAGTCCGTGGTGTCACTAAGACGTGTTGAATTTATATCCTTTTAGACCATATAGTGCTTCGAGCGACAGCAGTAACAAAGTTGCGGCTGTAGGATTTACAATTGAACCTTTCGAGACAGTTGCTGTAACTGTTTCTTCTGTGAATTTACCAGTGGAGGTATGTTTAAGCACAATATTTTAACGGCATTTGGTTCTAATTCTTCAAGTATTTTTAGGAAAAAAATAGATGAAATTAGCATGTGGTTTCAGAATGATGACAAGTCGTGGAATCCTTTCTTAATTGCGCCGTTCAGCTCAGAAGGACGTAGTTCAGCTGTTTTACAGAATACTACAATGGATGACCGTAGTTTTGGACATTGTTTTGACAAACTACCGAGGCATTTAAAACACTTGGCATCAAGTAATTTTGACTTCTCTTGCTTTATGTTTGATCTACTTACTCAGCGATCGAAGACTGTTGAATAGTTTTCTAAGACTGATCTAGTTTTTCGTTCACTTCGTTTGCATTTTTACTTTTCAGTCAACTGTTATGTGAATAAAGCTTATTCACAAAACAATTGGCCGAGAGATATGAATGTTCTTTATTTTTCCGTGTTCACTTTAATTGGTAATTTCTAAAGGCAAGACGGTAGATGATGCAAATTTAGAAATTGATGAAAATGATCCATTTGCTGCAGCACCAATTCATCACAATCAAATGAGGTTTATTTTATTGTGAACTATTTCTTGAGTTTTTCACAATTTTCAAGTGAGATGTTAGCACATGGGAGGTTTTTTTAGTACTGTCTCTTCCAGTTGACCTACTCATCATTTTCGACACATGCATGCTTGATCTGAAATATGATTTAACACCCATGATTTAAGGGTCAGCATCTCGAAATATCATTTTTTATCGTTTTAGCTCACGCCGCAACTGTTGAACGAAAATTATCTTCAAGTACATATGTAGGCGACTTTCAATTCTGAAAATCCATTATTAATGGATTGACAGTTTCAGGGTTGTTGAACAGGTTTCCAGAATGAAAGATACAAGTAAGATTTTATTCTCACATCTCCCTGTATCCTATATTTGTTATATGATTGGTCGCCTTTAGTGTCTCACTTGATTTCTAAAATTAATACCAATTAATGAATTTCGAACTCATACAGATAGCAATCGTACTGTCAAGTCAATATTTAGGTAAAGTTCTTAGATAGATTATCTTGTGGTGAGGGTTCCTGTTAAGAAATTGCAATTGATTCAAAAATTTCCAGGTGCAGCACAGGAAAAAAGTCAGTCGAATGGTAGTGGAGTCTCTATTGTTAGACTCTGTTGTTAGTCATGAAATTCTCTCATCACCTTCAACTAACAGTAATAAACTTTGAATATTCCGTTCTTTATTGCTTGTTTTGAAAATAACACTTCGAATAAATAATGTACTCTTATTCAAAATTTGTTAGCACCTGACATATTTACAATGAAAACTTCAAGCTTGCGTTTCCATTTGATAAGACTGGAAGTAGTAGCGTTTCAATCGTGAAGAATAACTTAAATATATTAAGCGCTTTTCATCTTTTCCATCCGAATTTGTAACTATAGCCGCAATTTCGTCCTGTTTAGTTTGATTGTTTGACTGGTTGATCAAACAGTCAAAGCGAACATTCATCGCACTGGAAGAATAAAAGGAGTGCCTTATAAGAAAGTCCAATTCCTGAGGGAAATGTAGAGTAAGAACTAATCAACTGTAAGGCAAGAGCATAGCTTACGGCAATTGCTATTTTACTTGTCAAGCAATACAAAGAAACTCGTTGATGATGACATTGCCGTTGCTTCTTGGACTCCAGTAGCAATTAAGAGGAGCTCTGATTGTATCTATGTTAATATCTCCTGATCTTAATATTTCTGATTCTTCTGGCGGCCTCATAGTGGTGTCAATTTCAATTTTGTAATTTTAGTCCTATGTCAAAAACTTTTAGCCTTACTTTTGAATTTCATAGAGAGACTGTTGTAAGTCTACACAGTAACCCAAGTATTCATCTTTTGAAGAAGAGTAACGATTCACTTCGGCAAAAGTATTTTGCAAATACAAAAGTGGAGCACGATCATTGACCAACAGCCATATTACCAACTGAAATTGAAAGGCTTGAGTTTCCCCATGTATTTCTGCAATATTTTTTGTATTGCATAATTAGATTAATGAGCACCCCAAATCCCAAATCTTAATTAATTGCTTTTTTGCAAATTAGCAATTAGTCACTTTCTTATAGAGGTCATTGCTAAATGAACAGTAATTGCTGAGCAATCTCTGGAAACTCTTGGAGCAGATTAATTGCTAATTTCAACAAACTAATTTTGTTTTATCCATTATGCAGTTTATTCGCTTTTGATGTCATACAGTAGCAAGTTTCGTTACTCGCGTACAAATACAAAAAGCTGACAATATTCTGAGTTGCTTGTATTTTTTCTATTTTAAATTCGTAGAGTTTGCCTTACACTGTAACTGAATTCAAAAATTTCTGAAAGCATTTAAATTCGTAGAACGCTGTTACTTCGTAATTATCGAAATTATAAGGGTTCTCCAGTTGTGTGTTACAAGATGATTGCAAGCTTTTTTAATGAAATTATGCAAAGTCGGATGTCAGACACATTTTCAGATTAGTATCTGCTAAGTAGTAATTACACTAGATATTAACACTGCATACAAAATAAAAAACTTATGTACACTAAGTCAACATTTTACCAAAGGAAGTTTCCAAAGTTGCATGTATGTTGTTGTTGAACATTTTAGGACCGTACTGGTGACAGAATACTTGTATATTCTTGGAATCTATTATCTTTGGAGTCTTTTTACGCCTTTCGAGACGAAAGGAAGGTCGGATAAATTTTTTTTTACTTTAAATAAATGTGTAATAACAAAGGAAAAAAATGTAAAGAATCAAGAATATGTTGTGATAACTTCTTTGCCTGTTCCTCGTATAAATAAAATACGAGGAATTTTATCAGACAGTACTTCAAGGTAGTGCATGTAATCATCAAGACCTGAAATATTTTTAAAAGTTTGCTTGATTATTCAAATCTAACATCATTGTAAAAATTTTGAATATGAATCTCAAATAAATGTTTAGCCTTTGCATATCTCTAGCTAAGCTGTTTTCAAAAGTACACTGGAATATGAAAGAATGCGAAGTTTCGTCTTCACATATATCTATTTCACTTCGGTGTGGTTACATTACCTTCTTTGGCAACCGGAGGCTTTGGTAAATTGAGCAAAACTAGTTGACTGTCGGCGGAATTTGCAAGAATCAATTCATTCAGTCGAACTGCTGTGTGCATTTTGCGCACCTGTAATTTTATAAAAAATTAACTAACCTTTAATTTTACTCTGGAATAACAAACATTCAGTTTAGATGAATTTAACAATCAGCGTCTTGCAAAATTCCGTGAAACAGTAGAAGATTTGAGCTTATACAGTGGGTAAATCGTTAGCAAAACCTGTGAGTTAGGATAACAGTATTTTAATCGTAAATTTAACAGGCAGGTACATTAGGGAGAGTAATTCGTTAACTTAACTTAGTACATACTTTCTTTTTGTCGAGCATCCTGAATTTTTTGTCACGATCATCTTTGTCATTACCTCCTACCATTTCATTCTTCGATTCTGCTATTGTCACTCGCCTGTTGCAGAGGGATTATATAAAATAAACTGTAGATGACTTACTGAACAATTCAGCCTATTAAATTTGTTGTTGTGACAGAAGAATTTTGAAAACAGGTAAATAACTGAAAAACTGGAAACTAAAATTTGGAAGAATTTCATAAATTTTGAAAATTGTTTAGTTAGAAACAAAAGAAGAAGTTACTTTTCATCATGATTTGATGGCATTTTTTCCGACGATGATGCTACTTTCTTTAGCGGTGATACTTTTTCTTTCGACGATGTCGGCGTTTCCTCATTATCCTCATCATCATTTTTATCATCAGTCTTCCCCTTTGTTTCACTGTCCGTATCATTATCATCACTATTCAGCTTGCCATTTTGCTTCATTTCTGCCAATACCAAAGGCTAAATGTTTCAAATTTTTCATCAAAATCAAATTTTGTTCGCAAATATTTCGATTTCAGGAGATGACAATGCTTCTTACCGATATTTTACTCAATTTTCCTTTTATTTCACGCATTTCATGCATATATCGAGTTCTCTCCTCCATAAGAAGTGTCCTTTCGAAAGCATTCTTTGAAATTTTGGGGTCTGATAGTTCGATGACCTGGCAACACATCACAAAATGATTGTGAAACGAAAGGTGAAGCTAGTACAAACAGACTTTTTTAATGCTAAGTCTTTTAAAATTAACATTTTTATGAATGTATTTCGAAATTTCAGAATTCTTCATTAGATGAAAATTTTCTGTCCTCACCCTTATCTTCAATTTATTGGCCGAAATTCGAAGATTTTTGTCATATGACTGAATAACAGTAAAGCAAAATTTGTCGAGCTCAATTTAATCGAAAACTCCAACTTGAATTCTAAGTTAAAGTTTTGTTAAACTTACAATCCAAATAAACTAGAATTTTATTATAAAATAAACTTAATGGGAAATTTTCATATTGAAAGATGTCCGATTCACCATTATTCTGGCATCAATCCTTAGCTGATAAACATATTTCTGAAGATCTGCTTGCAGCTTTGTGTTATTATCCATTTCCTGCGCAATTGCTATCACTCGAAGTTTGCATCCCCGCCACACCTTGGAATAGAAATCATCATCTGCTGCTGATTGATAATTTTTAAAATTATCATACGTTCTTATCAAATACCAAATTTATGAGAAAAAAGTTCTGAAAATTATTGATCAAAGTAATCAACGGATTAATATGTTAACTTCGGATCTTTATAACTTTACTTCATTTAACAAATTGCTTTTTAGGAAATCTGCATAGAAACAAATTTATTTGAATTATACCTTGCTCTGAGTCAATAAATAAGCGATAAGTATACATAGACCGCCATCTTGTACAATCCAATAAACGTCAATGGTTCCAACAAGGCGAATAGCCGAAACTGGGAAATTAACAATATCTTTGGCAACAACAAGGCACATATCTGTTGCAACACCAACATGCAATTTATCTACAAATTTAGAGATTTACCAGAATGCAATAAGACTCTCCATATCTTCAGAGAAGTCAAAAGTCTTGAAAATTTTCCAAGTTACAAGGGGTTTTATAATAATTTTGAATAAGTTTTGCTTAAAATTCCTACTCTATTGGCCAAATTTACCGGTGAATGTATGATATTCTGAATCAATAGCTTCACGTGAAGAGCCGTGAGTGTGAACAGGCCAACTTAGCAGAAGTGTATTAGGTCGTAATCCACCCATTCCGACACTTTGAATTAACGTTGAAACACTTCCTCCAATCTATATCAGGTTTTTAGTTTATATTAAATGACCATTATGAAATTCATAACTAGTAATTTTCTTGATGATGGCCATTAAGCGTGGTCTAAAAAAAAAATGGTTTAACGGTTTCAGAAAAGGCCTAAATACAGCCGCATTACATTAAATCACTGGATAGTCCTTGGACGGACAGCACAAGAAAGTCACACTTACCTGTGTCTCACCGTACACCAATGTTTTTGCAAATCCACGAAGCCTGATTTGATTCATGTCAAATTCCATTCGTGCTTTGACCTGTTTGGGTTACTCGGAATTATGAGACTTTATCAAAGTTTTGTTTTCACCCCTTCTTGAACTATTAAGGAGGTTTTTTTCTAAACTTTCAAGTTTAAAACTCGTCGAATTTACAAAAATCGTACAACGGTTCAATGCCTGAGTCATAAAGCGAAGAACATACCTCTTCTGCTTTTTTCCTGTCATCGATAACTAGAGGATTGCCACGTATGAATGCAACAACAATGGTTAAGCCACGACTAGCTTTAAGCTGTGATGCTAAATTGATCAAATTCAAATAGCGCATATCAACAAGTTCTTTGGACCAAGGCATTGATAAAAGCAACAGTAACTGCGGTCTAAAATTACACCACAGATAACCAGTAAATGTTTCAGAAGTTTGATTAGAGGAAATAATTATAATATAGTGGCTCGTAAATACGAAATATATTTTCTATAAATATTGAGTTTTTAATTAAATTTGAAAATTACGACAAAGAAATGCACCGGAAATTCTTCGGATGTGGATCTTTCTCATTAATTTTCATCAATGAATATTGCGCTGTTGTCAAGGCTAAACCACGGATTCCATCGCCCCATTCTTTCTTAGCACTGAAAAATTAACAAAAGCTAAATTGTATGTAAATAATAAATAATACTTAACAGTACTCGAATCTTTTACTCGAATTCCGAAATCTTTTACTCGAATCTTTTACTCGAATCTTTTACTCGAACTTAACAGTACTCGAATTCCGCGATTCTTCCTTTTTTTCTCTCTTCTTTTTTCCTCACCGAAATTAAGTAAAAAAAGTCAATGTAATAATTTACCCCTTCCATTCGACATATTTGTATATAACAAGACAAAGCACACATGAAACAATTGCATAGTCCCAGTGGGTGCTAAACATGATGAAAAAGCAAAGTCCTGCACCAAGTAATGCTAAAGACCTGAAATTTAAGAAGTGGAGGAGTAAGTTTTTTCTACCATCTAAATTGAATTTCAGAATTAATAAGGAGTTTTATCAAAAATATTGCCAGAGGGAGGGGATGCTGTTGTAAAAGATAGATTAAACTTCGAATTTTTTAAGAATTATGTTACCTAGATGACTGCTTTGTCAGTACGTCAGTGCAGTACCTCATGGTCCCACACCTAAGGCTGTATACGGTCGTAATTAAAAAAAAAAAAAAAAGATATGACGACCAGGTGGAAAAAAACTGATGGTCCGGCCATTTAATCTAGTAAGAGGTTCAGATCGATGTGGCATTTTGTTCTATTATCTTTGTCAAAAACATCAAGAATTTGTTCAGCAATGTCATGTCTGTCGGATCATTGTAACCCCTAACTCTTATGGTAATGAGTACGTTGTGTCAGATTTGTTGCGATTATTTATAAAACCATTTTCTTCAATCTATATACTAACCAGTGGTAGAATTTGAATCGTGGTCTCCAATTGGGTGCACCGAGAAGTGAGTGCAATGCACAGATCAAATTCACAAATGCGTAACACATCAGGAAGAAGAAATCAACCACAGCAGCTATATGATCCATTGCGCCCATTAGTATTGATAATTCCGCTATTATAATCGTTATTACCAATCTGTTAAAAAACGAGGTTCTAAATCCATTCCGTCAAAAATCTAAGCATCAATTACTGAAATCTCAAGTGATGTCAACCGATAAACGACGATTTAATAACATTCGCTATAAAATAATTTTAGCAGTAAAATTATAAATACCCTTTGAATGGTTCGTTTTTGGACGTAACTTTTGCGAATGGTTTCAAAATTGGTATTACGTCATCTTTAGCAATTGATTGTAAGAGACGTGGTGCACCTCAAAAAAATAACAAAATCATATATATCGTCCAGGACCATATAGTTTTCTCCAAAATACTTATTTTTAATCCACTTTTCAAATTTTAAATTATATTAAGCTTCATTAAGTCTTTTTAGATTCAAGACTAAAAACAATTAATTCTATAGGATTTGCTTTACTTTTGCAGATTTTACAATAGCAAAAACTGAGGAAATAATTCTAAGCTTTCTAACATTACATACATAATGACATCAAATACATAAATTTTGGCATCTTACAGCATTAACCCCAATTCTGGTAGAAAACTTAGACGTTAAAAAGTCAGTCAAAAAATGAAACTTCGAAATGTATTTGTGCGTCTTAATTAGAAAGACTTTCGAACTTACTGCAGAGGCACTGAAGAGCAGCACCAAATGTCGACAGGAATGATCCAGCCAATAAAACCCATTCTGTGGGCCAAGCTAAATTGGCAACAATCATGCCACCACGTAATGATTGCCCATATCTGCAAAAATTT